ACATACGTCGTATCGGCGGATCGTGCGCGCTGCACCAAATCGTTAACGCGATACTCCCTTTAACGCTCTTTGTAAGTAATCGATAGCGTAATAAACGCGTAAAGCGTCTCGTCATCTAACCAAGCTAATTAGAATAATCAAAGCTCAAGATACAATTTCGCGATGGTTGAATCGAATTTCAAAGTCTAGTATACTACAAATGTAGACATCCATTAAAATACTGAAAAAAAAAAACAAACTAAATTTTAATAAATATTCGTTTGAATAGAGTTCTAAGTAAATATTTACTAAATAGAAAATGGTTTGAATAGAACTAAATAAATATTTACTTACAGTAAATGAATATAAATATAAATTTATTTACTGTAAGTGTATATTTTTAGTTAGTTCTATTCAAATGAATATTTACTCAATAAAAAAATAATAGTTAAATCAAATTAATGGTTTTTGCATCAAATAAATATGTATTTATACATTTAGTAAATGAATATTTACTATAAATAAATGTTTACTTAATTCTATTCAAAGAAGTATGTATTGAGATTTAGTAAATTTTTTTCAATGAAGAAATTGATGAATTTTTCAGTAAATAGAAGAAATACGTGAGATGATTCTTTAGACAATAATTCCTTCTGTCAGCACTGCGTATTGATTTATTATTATTCAATATCAGAAAAAAAAATTCAATAAAGTTATTTCGAGTGCTTTGCTTTCAAAGCTTAACTTTCCTTTATAGACTAGTTATTCTACGGAAAAGATATTATTGATCCCATGCAGCGAGAAGATCCATTGTCAAGTTACCGAGGAATAAGACGTTTCCATGACAAACGCTTACCTGATTCGCTTTGTTGATTTGCTTCTTGAGCCCGGCGAACGCCATGATGCTGTCGTGTCGTTGCCTAGATCACACGTAAATCGTCGCGACCTGTAACAAAACGGAAACGAGACTGTCAGACAGGTTGCACGTGTGAATTCAACGAGAAAGAGAAACTCATATAGAATAGGAGGATCGAAAAAGAGAGAAGAAGAGCGAATGTTGGAAAAATAGGACAAAAGTTTTGAATTTATGGTCGTGGCTGGCTCCTCGCCAAGGCGAATGGGATGATTTTGAATGCTATCGATCGATCGTATGTCGTGTTTTCCAGCATCATGACTCGTCGCTGATGCAACTCGATTGCCTCGTGTGTGGTTCAGCCATACAGGTGTCGGGCGGAGGCAACGCCGATGGCCGCGAGTAAATATCTCGTGGATCTCGTGGTGATCTCACACGCGTGAAATCTTAAGTCGTAACGTGCTGCCGACCCGACCTCTTAACAGGCTCTAATAAGAGTAAATAATGTGTGCTCTTATTAACGACGGACGGCCCACATCGATAGATCTTCCACGCGCAACTTCCAAGGCTTTTCGTACACGAAAAGAATGATTTTGCGGAAGTATTTAAAAATTTAGCTGCAGATCTGAAAATAATTTTTTTAAACTGTCAAAATAATTCAAACGCTTAAACATGATGAGCAAAAAATTTTGACATTCTAGCGTCAAAATTTGAGCGTCCTACATAATTATTTTGACGGTTCAATAAAATTATTTTCAAATCTGTAGGTAGTTAAATTTTTAGATACTCTTCGACCGAAACACTGTTCTTTCTGTGTATGACGGGGAATAAAATAACGTCATCAAATTCATGCACATAACTAAAAAATCTATAACTTCCTAATGACAAACGATATCTGTAACTGTTCAATAAAAAACGATTTTTTCTCGAACTGATTATTTTTATGATTTTGAATGCCAATTACAAATTTATTTTTCAAATTGCGCCATCATGTCATAATTTTGAGAAATTTTGAAATTAAATTTATAAAAAGAGTTATGTTCACGTATTACGTCATAAATACGATATCTGATGTGCTGGAGAAGTTTTATTGCAATCAAAATTAACCTTTAATTAGTCGTGTGAAGTCGCCGTGACCTCAAATCATTTTATTTCACGGCGTAAGTATTTTCGCGCGACTAACTAAAGGTTAAGTATGTTATTAGAACTTTCAGTCCTCAAAAGGATTTTTTAAAATCAACTGTGATTAATAATATTCGTAGTTAAATATGGAATCTTATATTGTGGAAAAGTTGTAAATCAGATTGTTGACAATTTACCAAATAGCTTTCAGTTATATATATTTAAAGAGTTTTTTTTTAGAGTTTTTTAAATCACTAAATGTGATTCCAATATCAAAATTGATGAATTTAAAACGGCAGATTCAATACAGTGAATGGTAAAACTTGAAAAATAACCGAATTGTTGCAAAAATTTAGAGATCTCCCATGATTTTTAATTTGTCAAATCGGATTCATATTCGATGATCTAAAAAAAAATCTTAAGTTTAAATAAACACAATTAGAAGTTATTTAGTAAATCGCTAATGATCTAATTTATATAACTTTTTCGCAATTTCCCATATTTAACCATAAATATCTTATTTGATTATAATAGCCGACACTAAAAATTTCTTTTGAAAGCTAAAAGTCCTAACACTATATTTAATTTTGATTGCAATAAAATTTCTCTAATATGTCACATATCGTAGTTACAAAATATGTAACAAAATATGTAAAAATAATCCTTTTTGCAATTTTAAATGCAAATTTCTTAAAATTGTAACGTGATTAAGCAATTTGGAAAACAGATTCGTATTCAGCGTTCAAGAAACTACAGGAAATGACTAGTCTTGTTTTTTTTTTTATCAAACAGTATAATTTATTTAAATCCATTGACTGTAAGTTATAGAATTCTTTTATCATTTTATATAACCGATCAATGAACGTATATCTATAGTGCGAATCTTGTTAGAGCAAGTACTTATTAATGCGTACATCGATTTCTCAGAAAAATACACGTACAGAAATGCAATATAGAGGAAGTGTTTCGCATTTGAAAAATTTATAAATAATAAATCTGGTATGATTTAACAATAGCGAGTTATTGCGTCCTCTTAATAAAAGCAATATTGCAAGTCGATAAATTCATGTATATAGAGATGTCTAGTACAATACAGAAATTTTATTCGCAAAATCTAACGAATAAATCTATTAAAGGAAATTTACTTGATTAATAGTACGTGACACATTGATGGTTCTTTTGGGCGAATTCTGCATATCAAAATAGGCATTTAATATGGAAAAGTTGTAGCAACGAGATGTCTATAAATTCAACGGCAGGTTTCAATAAAAGCAAATTGTCCATCAATAAACTCCTCGCGTAACATTTCTCATACTGAGCTAAAAATTCAGTCCAATAAAATCCTATATAAATGTGAAATGTTTAAATGCTAAATCTGTAGTAGTTAAACACGAATGATGTGTATCGCGAATAATCGACAAATTCCCAACAACATGATTCTTTTATAAAAAGTCTGAATAAATCCCGTAGAGTGTGAATTTCGCAAGGAAGTATACCTATCGAGCTAAAGAAGCTCTACAAGCAGGCGCAAAGAGTCTATAATTGACCTGAGTTGGCGATTCCGAGCAAAGGTCGTCGGTACCTTATACGATTAATTAACCTCACGAAACTAGCCGAAGGCAAAGACTAAGTCGAAACTTTTTACATACACATTGCACTCGTAGTAAAAAATCACCCACGGCCGATAACTCTTTCTGAGTAATTCTTGTCAATAGCAGAATCGAAGTTTCCATTAACGTGCCGCCGACGGATTCCCTGAAGTGAATAAACGCTCTATTAATGAGAAGAGCCGCCGTTTGTACGGCGAACTTTTAGAATGGCACGCATTGACCGCAATATACCGTTGAAACTCTCTTAATAAGTGTATTAATAAATGCAATCTTTTTATTAATAAACAAGCGCAGGGAGATTAAATTCATAATAATCGATGAGGGTTTTATTAAAGACATGAAGGTTCGATTGATCAGAACGGCATTGCAACCGAAAGATTCTCGAGATAGAATGAAGAGAAGGATACAACATTTGGTAAGTGGGCGACTGGACGGGAAGATGGAGGATTATACTGACACAGTCCGATAACAACGGTTAATGTCCCGATTTTCTTACGACACAATAATTTGATTATCAATGTGCTGACTGTACCATTAGATATTAATGCCGTATTTGCACTCTTAAGTTAAATTCTTGCGTCTTAGTAGTAGAATTATACAATAGTAATAAATAAACGAATGGTAATAAAACACATAATATTGAAAGAGTAGATGGCAGTGCGGTATTGAATAGTAAAATGTAGAGTCATAAAAGATAACAGCAGAATAATGAAATTTATCAGAATAATGAAATTTAAACAGAAATTTTATGTAAGGAAAGAAACGTAAGTGATAAGATTAGCTAAAACTGCAATAAAAACAACAGGGAACTATAAAATGTAGCCAGAATAAGTAGAAATGTAACATAAAGGACTATAGCGTAGATCGTAAGTTGGTGCGCGATATCGAAAAGGATAAGAGTATATTATACATGGCAGGTAGCGCCGATGACAGCACAGAATATAGAGAGCTATAACATAGCTTTACAATATAGGTAACTACAGTACAGTGTTATGCCTGGTAAAAATGGAATATAGTGAGGAACCGACCGATTACAGGTAGGTATAGATGGATGAAGACAATCACGTTAGCAGACTTCAACTTGAGACTACAACCCCGTTGCGAATTGTACTCGTCACTGAGCTCGCTATACCCAGCAGAAATCTCGTCTCGTGTCAACCATAGTCCGCGAATGGGACGACACGTCGCTCCAGAAGACCCGTGGTACGTCACACTGCACGCGATACCGAATTGCCAATGCGACGGTTCTCGTGCCAAGAACGGAAGGAACGACTACGATAACAAAATACAACGCGGTGGCGGTGGACAAATAGTTGACGATGCAAAATGCAAGTCACAGACGGGGACGTGTCTCACCTCTGAGCGCTCAGCCCTCCGGCGCGAACCGGACACCCCCAAATGCCGCACACCCGAACGCACGCCGATATGGACAGTGGCGACGTGGGCGACGTCGATGGGTCACGTCGACGTTGAAAGAGACGCGAGTAGATGCGTGGCCTCTACGTGCGTGAGGAACAGGAGGGAATCCGCGTGGGCCCACGAGCACCGCGAGTGAGCACCCCACTGACTACTCTCGTACGTGATCGGTCTCTCGCACACTGCGAAGTCTCCTGCTAGGGGGTAGTTTTCTGCTGGCCGATCGATACGCGGCTCAGTTTCGCGGTCTCTCTCGCTCGCGCGCCCGCTCCTCTCTGCCGTTCCCTCCTCTTCCACCCTCCTCATCTCTCCCCGTCTCGTTTCGATACCATTCCCTACCCTTTCTCTCGCGATAACCACCTCTTCCGTCAGGGACGGATCCAGGGAGTAACTCCACGAGGAGAATTAATTTTTCGCGCAGTTACTGTAAAACGTTCTCCAGAAAGCTCGAAGTATTATCTCGCAACATGCGACAGGTAAAATATATCAAGAGTAAGGATAATCATGACTAGCTTCTTTTTGGTTGGAGAACATAATTTTTTACGTCCCCCCCCCCCCACATTGCGGTTTCTCCCATAAGTACTTTCCAAGATCCACCTCTGTCTGCCCTTTCCCTAACGTCCTCTCTTCTCCTTCCACGTGCGCCGTAACCCTCGACTTTATTCGCGCGCCTTTGCTCCCTTTACGTTTATATCGGGTGTTTGTAACAGCGAGGAGTTATTGTGGTATGTCGCTTACTTCTGGAATTCACGCACGCGCACAATAGGGATGAATAAAGTGAACAATGTTTGTCATTTCCTAGGACGAAACAATATAAATCCCTATCCTTACCAAGAAAATTTTATTTGACACAATAGATTCTCTAACATAAATAGAATAATACGAGGTCATGAGCATAAAAGAGTATAAATAAAATTTCTCTAAATTATATTTCATATTTTATCA